CAGGTTGGAGCCCACGGGCATGGTGCCAGGGGGCAGAGTTGACAATGGTCATGGTGCCAGGGGGCAGAGTTGACAAAGGCGGGGTGAGCGGTGGGCAGGACAGGGCAGGCGGGAAGCCGCTGGCTGGCGAGGTAGCACGGGCACGTGTGGTTGGATGGAGGGGTGTGGGGCAGGGGGTGGGTCCTGGGGCCCCGGGGTCCTGGGGCAAGCCCGAGGCCAGGGCGAGGCTGCCCCCCCCCCCCCGGAAATGTGCAAGTGCTGGTTCCTGGGAGGCCGAGCTGGACGGGAACAGAATCCCTCTGGACGCCAGATACTCTGTCCCTGGTAAGGGATGGCCTCTAACCCGCGGCCTTCAGGCGATTTCTGCTGGACAAGAACCACGCCAATAGCCGTCCTGTAATCTGCGAAACTTTATTAAAAACAGAAGTGGCGCTTTTAAACTACAGTGTGGTTTTCATTACAAAATACAGTAAGGGCAGGGACTGGCTCGGCTGCAGCTGGGGGGCCACACAGGCGTCACTGCGGTCACCAGCAGCCCGCACGGTGTGAAGGCCACTACTCACATTATCGGGGTGGGGCTGGACTCCACGACCGGGCAGGCGCCAGGCCCCACCAGGTCCACAGCTCCCCCAGCTCCCCGCACCCACCGCGACCCGCAGAAAGCACCAGGGCCCCCCACCAGAGCGCCAGTCACGCCCTACTGAACACCCCGCCCGGGCCAACCCGCGGCTGTCCAGGGCCCTGCGGCGGTGGCTGTCCAGTGGCTGTCGGGATTTTATTTTTGCACCTGAGCCTTGAAAAGTGGTTTAAATGGGCCCCGGTCTCCCCGCCTTCCTTCTGTCCCAGCCCAGGGCTCGCCTGGGGTGTGACCGCCTGGGGTGTGAGTGACCGCAGGAGTCTGCCAGGCCCCTCCCGCCTTTGTATCCGGAGACTGGAGCCTCCCCCGGGGCTCGACACGGGCCTCAGGGCCCAGGCTGCCACCAGGGGGCAGGTTCCTAGCTGGCCCGTGGCCACGGAAACGTTGTGGCGCGGAGAATTCAAGGATCGGTCACTTTCCGGGCCACCAGCGGGGAAGGCGGGGGCGCGCCCAGTTTTCTCGGCGGACTGCGGCTGGGCACTACCCCCAAATCCGCAGAGCGGCGCGGGGCCTCGCGGCCAGGGGGCGCCCGCCCGCGCCTGG